CCTGCCAATCACCACATTTGGGAGCAGGAAGGAAGTTTACTGTACAGACACATGGGTAGAGACCTGTGGGAGATGAGCGTCCTTTCTGTGTAATGGGGTGGAGTGGGCTGGTGACTTATTTCTATATCCTGAAAGTGATTAAAAACACTTGCAGGAGCAGGATGCTGACAGTCTTCATCTCCCTCTTTTCCCTGCAGGAAATTTTGGTAGTTTTAGTGACTGTGGGCACTATCCCTTGTAGTGGTGTGACAGGGTGTCTGCATTGTTTTAGAAACAGTTTAAACAAGGTTTCATAAAGGATAGCTTGTATAGGTAAGATGATGCATTGACTTGGGGGATGATCTCCAGAGCTGCTTCCAGTCCTACTTTTGTATTAGTCTGTGATTTATCACTGTTGCCTTGTACATGGGACCATCCCCTTGTCAGCTCCCAGGTTTGGACTCTAAAATGAACACCATCTGGACCCCCAGGGAAGTCTTAGTCAGAGTCCTATCTGCTCTTTCTTCCTAAGTACTGCAATGGAGGACAGCACACATGTCCAGGAGGGTGCAGGGATAGAAAGAGAGGGACCAATGACACAGTAGCATGTGGTAGATGAGCAGATGAGGCTGACACATACTGACCTTAGTGTGGGGGAAAAGTGCAATGATTTCCACATACATGTTAACGTTGGAGATGTGAAGGAATGGGGCAAGGGCCAGAGGGAAGCAGGACAAAGGGGAGTAGAGACGGGGAGAAGAGAGAGAATCCAAAACACCAATAAAGTAGGTTCAGATTCGTTATCAGGAGAACGTCTTCACTGATGGACCAATGGGGCAGTGGACTAGACTGATTAGGGATGTTGTACAATCTCCATCACTGGAGGTGTTCAAGGGGATGGATTAGCATTGGTCAGGCAAGATCTAGGAATAGCTACATCCATGTTCTTCTCTGGTTATTTTCAATTGCTCTGGTCATTGCTGTTTTCTGGCTGGGATAAGGAAGGATTTTCTCCCCACTCCTTTTGCTACATGTGTCATGGGGTGGAGGCTTTCTTCTACCTTTAAAATCATTGGGTGGTAACTGAAATCAAGGTTGAGGATTTTGACTGATATGCCAAAGCTCCTGTCAGACTAAACCCCCAAGATCATGAGCTAGAGAGTCTGCCCCACCACTCAAGCTCAGACAAAACCCCACACTTGGGATGAGGAAGGAATTTCAATTTATGGTTAGATCGGTAAGAACCAGGTTTCCCTCCATCCCCCACCCCTTCTTTCATGTTTATCTGGCACCCAGTATCAAGTGGAGTGGCTACAGGGGTTGGGTCCATAACCAGTTTATTTTCAATATCGTTGTCAACAACTGGGAAGATGCAATACAGCGCACCCTCAGCAAGTCTGCAGGTGACACCAAGCTGGGGGAAGTAATAGATACGCTTGAGGGCAGGGCTATGATTCAGAGACACCTTGACAAATTGGAGGATTAGACCAAACAATCTCATGAGGTTCAGTAACAAGAAGTGCAAAATCCTGCACGTAGCAAGGAACAATCCTATGCACTGGTACAGACCGGGGCCTGCCTGGCTAAGTAGCAAGACCTAGGGGTTAAAGTGAATCAGAAGGTGAATATGAGCCAATGCTGTGCCTTGTTGCAAAGAAGACCAATGGTAATTGTGCTGCATTAGCAGGAGCATAACCAGAAGATCAAAGGAAGTGATTCTTCCCCCATGTTTGGCACTGGTGAGAGCACATCTGGAGTACTGTGTCCAGCTTTGGGCCTCCCAATACTGAAAGGATGCAGACAGACTGGAGAGAGTCTACTGGAGGGCAGGAAAAATTGTTAAGGGGCCAGGTTACATGAGTTATGAGGAGAGGCTGAAGGAACTGGGCTTATTTATTTTGGAAAGAGAAGACGAAGATGATGTTTAATAGCAGCCTGCAACTCCCTCAGGGGTGGTTATGAAGAAGATGGAGCAGCATTGTTCTCCATGTTAGCAGATGATTCAACAAGGAGCAATGGTCTCAAGTTCAGTTTAGATATTAGGAAAAAAAAAAAAAAAACATCTTATCAGGAGGGTGGTAAAGCACTGGAACAGGCTACCCAGAGGGGTGGTAGAAGCTCCAGCCTTGGAGGTTTTGAACACCCAGGTAGACAAAGCCTTGAGTGACATGATTAAGTTTATAGCTGCTTTGAGGAGTGTGTTGGACTAGGTGGACTAGGCCCTGCTTTGAGGAGTGTGTTGGACTAGGTGATCTCCTGAGGTCCATTCCAACCCTTATTTTATATCACCCTAAGATTAATCATTGTTTTAGAGCAGTTTTAGCTACAGAGAAAACATCCCTCAGAGTTTTACAACACCACTCCTCTCATAAAATGATAGAAGCATAGAAAATTAGGGATAGGAGGGACTTCAGGGTGTCATCTAGTCCAGCATTGGGTATTGGCTGAAATCAAGGTTGGGGATTTTGAATGATGTGCCGAACCAAGATCATAAACTAGAGATTCTTCCCCCACCACTCTGGGTCACACAAATCCCTATACCTGCAGTCAAAGACAGACTGTCTCCAGTTGGCTCATGCCAATCATGGCTTGGTCTAGCCCAGTCTTAAGAACCTCCAAAGAAGGAGATTGTGCCACCTCTTGGCCTTTCAGCTCAACGTAGACTTCTCCTTGCTTGTTTCTTGTGTGAAAATCGTGTTGCCTGAACTAGTTTCAAAGGAGTCGCTATCACTCAAAATAATCCTATCCATTCCTTTCAAAATTCCCTTTTGGGTGTCAATTCTGGACAGTTACCTAAACTCTCAGGAGTAATTAAGTGGAGGTGATATTTTTCTTCTTTTTTTTTTTTCTTTTGGAGGATGCTGTCCTCTGGGGCATTCTGGGAAATGTGGATTATTCTTTCTGATTTGAAAGAAAAACACATTTCATACCTTGCCAGATCTCCCTAGGAATACAAGTCCCAATTTTGATACAATTGTACAGTAACAGATTGTGGTCTTTACTGTGTTTCCTTTTACATCCATTCTAAACAAGGTCACACTATGTGCATTATTGGAGCTTGCCACGGCGGGGTCCTAAAGGAGGGCCGTGATCTCCTAGACGCCCCCTCTTCCATGCTTGGGAGGCTGCCTCACGTCTTCTTGGACACAGTCTGATGTACGCTCTAATCCTGTAGACTCGTGGACCCCTCGTGGGTCTTGTCCTGCCAATGGGTGCTTCAGAGCACCCTAG